GGGGGGGGGGGGGGGCACATATTTGAGTGGTGTAATAAGATAAACTAAGTTGTTTTCTTATTCAAAAAATAGGGATATTAAGATTATTTTGAGTATTTTAAAGTAGACGAACACGAAACAATTAGTTGCCAATAATTTATTTTAAAATGTGTGTGGTGAGAAGATAAATTTAGTGAGGCTTGTTTTAAATGAAACTTTTTTGGTTGCAATTTTTCTTTTTATTCCTATAATTAAACATTTTGAACATTTGTTATTAGAGGAACTGTACGCGTAATTTCAAGTGACCATCCATGCAAAGATTTTCAAAGAAAGTTATCTATACATCTATACATTTGTCTTTCTTTCTATCCATCTATCTTTTTAAATCTATCAATCTATCTATCTATCCATCTGTTTATTTAAGACATTTTCTAAGTGAATCAGGAAATTACAGTTTCCGACCCCGGACTCAAGTTTACACACTCATTCTACTTTCATACATAAACCCAGCACCCATCTGTAATCTGTTATCTGAAATCTGTAATCTGTAATCTGTAATCTGAAATCTGAAATCTGTAATTTGTAATTTGTAATTTATAATCTGTAATCTGTAATCTGTAATCTGTAATCCCTAATCTGTAATCTGTAATCTGTAATCTGTAATCTGTAATCTGTAATCTGTAATCTGTAATCTGTAATCTGTGATCTGTAATCTGTAATCTGTAATCTGTATTATCAACCCCGGTCCTAAAAATTCCCTTGAATTGGTTCAAGTTGATCTAGCTGTTAACCTCGTGTATAGTACTGCTGGATCAAAATACCCCACTTCTACAGTTTTCATATCGTCCCCCCCCCTTCATACATTTCCCCCATCTCATTATACATAATTGAGAGACTGGCATAATTTCCCCGGGGGTTTACCTACAAACCAGCTGAGGTGGGGGAATTTAAACCAAATACCACAAAAGCCTTATTTCTCAAATGAGGGACTTTATTTTAAAGAAAGAAACTTGCTGACGACATTTTTAATGTTGAATAAATGTGGTTCATTTATCTATATTCATACTTTGCTTGGGTATCTGTTTTTTTGTTAAGGTGTTTGTTCGTTTGTATCCAAATAAACGTCAAAACGGCTGAACCAATCGGGCCGTATTTTTTTTTGTGGGACCTCGCTAGACCCGAGGTAAGATTTATGAACGATTGATTTTTCAAAAATTCAATTTTTAAAAATTGTGAAAATCCACGACATTTTTTTTATAAAATCCGCAAAATTTGTTATTGTTTTTCTTTTTGTTTTACAATGTATACAAAGAGACTATGTTCACAATTGAAATAGAAGATGGGCTCGAGCATCGAAGCGTTCTAAAAAAACTCCTTTGAAATAAATATGTCTTCGAAGTTCGAATCTGGATAGTTTACTAAAGAATCAGTTCGGGAAAATAAATAGAATTTAATTCAAAACACAAATAAATCAATATTTTAATTTAATTTTTTAAAATCTTTCTCAAAAGATTGTGTTGCGATTTTCTCACTCTATACTTATAGAGTGAGAACCTTGGAAATGATTCTAAAGTTTTTTAAGGCTTAAAAAAATACAAATTTTTTCTGAGGTTTCATAAATATAGAATCGAATTTTAAATTTCGCTTCAAATATTTGTTGTCCCAATCCAAGTTCACGCTTTTGACTTTTTGATAGTATTTCTTTTATGCAAACATTGATATAATACAACTATGATATTTTTCTGTAAATCATGGGGCTGTAGTGGCAGGTTTGTTTAATAACGGTAACTGAAAACCTTTGTCTGATCTTAGATAGATGAGATATTCTTATTTTTCTAGCTATGAAAAAGAAAGACAACAAGTATAATTATCAGAATTTAACATTATCTTGGTAGAAAAACAGTGATATCTCCGCATTTTTTACTCAGACAAAGGCTTTGAGGGTATCGTTGTAAATCGAACATTACGTCTACAATCACTTTAATGGTCTTAAATGTTTAATAAAGCTGCGAGAAAAATAAAAACACATCTTTACAAAATAGATTGAGAAGAATTATAGAAAACAATATGTTAAGAAAACTTTATTAAATCTAAAATCTCAAACCACAAGTAGACGTAATTTCATGTGACTCTCCATTAAAAGAGTGACATGTGCGACACCATACAACTACCTGGATAACAATGAGGATGATATCTTCGTTTTAATATCTGAAAAAGTATGTGTTTTTTGAATACCCTGCATTGTTTCTAATTTCCTTGATCAGACAAGTGAATTGTCAATATGACATCACTTTATTTATGGAGGGTCACTTGAAATTCCGTATTCCGTCCCTTTAAGACCTATAAAATGTTATAGTAAGCTAGAGAGCCATAAATAGTTAGAAGAACTTGTCAAACATTTTTCTGTTTGAAATTCAATATTCCTGTTCACGGTTCAGCGGCCATATTCTGTAATTCTACATAACTTTAAAGTTGCGCCTCATCTATATTATACATTTTACAGGGACTAGAAATCAGTGATGCTTTGCACCCCATTTTGTAAAAATACAATAAGACCCATAAAACTGTGGAAAAGGAAGATATTATTTAAGCATGGATCCGCATGCACTCTGCAAATTTGCTGTGTTTAATGTTTATTGGACAAATTACAGTCATTTACCCGGAGTCTAACGTTCAGTCATTTTCATATTCCACAGTTTTATGGATCTCACTATAGGACGAACGGTAATTATGAATTCATTGTCTAGATGACATGAAGAACTTTTTTTTTTACTTTTTGCACAGTTTTTTTTTTACCTCGGGGGTCGGAGAAAAGAACTATTTTACTTTTTTGGTTTGAAAAAGAACTCTTAATTTTGACTAACTTCGATGGGCTCATATAGTAAAAAAATATAAAAATGTTTTTTCAATTATTTGCATGTAATATCTGGACCCATGATGTCCTATCCTAAAAGAATAGTTTTCTTTATCTCCATGCAGCTTTTGTTTAAACATGTTTACACAAATACCCCCCAGGTTTAAAATGTTAACAAGAATACCTTTAGGTTTAAAATAAAGTTTTCTTCTGTGTTCTCCTATTTAGGTTATCTTGTAAACTTGGGACATTCTTAAATAAACATTCTTCTTAGTTCTGTTTTGATATATATATATATATATACTTGGATTCGGTGGGGCTTCGCGCCTGGTACTGGTATTTAATTGATCATTTATGTCACTTATGTCAATGGCCATGTGACATGTGTCATGTCTCAAAGTAAGCATGGGCTTGGTTTAGGCATTTAGACGTTTTCATCGAGAGCAAACCAACAAAAAACAGTTCTTCTTTTCAAAAATGCAGTTTCTTTTTTTGAATATTTTAAAATGGGAAAATACCGCAAGTTTACAAAACAAAACAAACTCAAAATATTTCTACTTTTTTTTTTTAGGTAAAATAAATAACAAATAGACTTTGAACATAAAAATAAAGATATTTTTAAATCTTGTGGGCAATCTTTAGAAGGGGGGTTGGCCTTGGGGGGAAGTTTGATAGGAAATCAATCAGAGGGGGGGGGATTCCAGGGATTATGTCATTTCCAAAATATATCCAGAGGTTTAAAGTTTCCGATTACGTGGGTTTTCAATTATCTTTCTCTATTATTTTTTGGGGATACATAACATACTGGGGTTGCACAGGATAGATGGTTACAAGAGGTACAGGGGATACAGACAAGGGATACATGGGATAAGGGGATACAGGGGATACAGGAGATACAGGAGATACAGGAGATACAGGAGATACAGGAGATACAGGAGATACAGGGGATACAGGAGATACAGGGGATACAGTGGATACAGGGGATATAGGGGATACAGGGGATACATGGGATACAGGTGATATAGGGGATACAAGGGATACATAGGATACAGGGGATACAGGAGATACAGGAGATACAGGGGAAACAGGGGATACAGGGGATACAGGGGATACAGGGGATAAAGGGGATACAGGGGATATAAGGATACATAGGATACAGGGGATACAGAAAATACAGGGAATACAGGGAATACAGGGGATATAGGGGATACGGGAATACAGGGAATACAGGGGACACAGATACATATAATGCAATTCCCCGTCACCTTTTCCTTGTTCTCAGTTAGTACTTTAAACCAGAACTATTTATCCTAAACCACAATCTTCAACCAAACAACATTAGTTTTATTTTTTATTTACTTCGTTCACTCCTTTCTAAGGGAAGGTTATAGGTACATTTTATTCTAGATTTTTATAATATTTCTTCTTCTTTCCAAGGGATCCAAATTTTCCTTATATTCTATGTTTCTATGTTACCCCTTTTATTCCTGGGTGTCCATACCCCCATTTTATTTCAGGGTTTCCGTATTCCCATCTATTCTAGGGTTTCCAGGGTTTCCATATTGCCTCTTATTCTATGGTTTCCATATTGCCTTCTTTTCCAGGGTTTCCATATTTCCTTCTATTCCAGGGTTTCCATATTCCCCTTCTATTCCAGGGTTTCCCTATTTCCCTCTATTTCATGGTTTCTATATTCCCCTCTATTCCAGGGTTTCCATATTTCCCTTCTATTCCAGGGTTTCCCTATTCCCTTCTATTTCATGGTTTCTATGTATCCATCCTAATACTGACTCCTCCCTTTGTACCTTGTATGGTTGTCCAATATCTTGATAAAGCCAGTATTAGCATAAAAATCACCTTCTACCATTATTTATTCATGAATTTAAATTGTTTAAAGATGTATTCTAGTGTTAAACCTGGTGTCTCGAAATTTAAATCATAACTACAATATGAGTCGATGACAACTGAAAATATCCCGTGAAGCCGAAATTTTAGATAACCTAATGAATTCAAAGAAAATAGAAAACAAATATTCTAAATCTTTTCAGACACCCTAAGAAGGATAGGAACGCTTGCATGTAGATTAAAATGATTGTAAATTATAGATCTTGCTAGTTTTCCAGCTTGTCCCACTTAGCTTGAAGAAATATATGGAAGGGGGTCTGAAAAAGGCTTTCATGAGTATCTTTACTCAGTTCCAAATTAGGAATTCAATTTATTCTCTCTAACTTGTGACGATCTTTGAAAATATTTCTTTTAAATAATTAAACAGACATAAAATTTTTCCAACCCGAACCAAATCAATCCATGTTTTGTTTAGCATCAGTAAGTCAAAGCACACGGCGTTGTGACACTTCAAAGTCGACCCAGTCTTAAAAGTTTGGAATTTAAAAACACTTATTAGATATTTTGATTTACACTGTTGTACCCTAATGGGTTTGCTTTTAAGTTATGACACCATATATAGCCGCGGTGCAATTAACAGATTTGGTAGTTCTATATTCAAGCACTCTGGGTTATAATCTTAAACCCTTTGATTTATATTTTACTGTAATATTAACCTGGAGTTTAGGATAATCTGATGGAGCTTCGTAACCAAATTAATCTGATGTATGTTCCATACCATAACTAGATTATAGAATTTTAATTTGTCTCAGCATTAGATTAAACACTTTTTGCATTTTCTGTTCTAAACCTTTGAAAAGTCAAAATTGAAATTAATGCAAAGCCCGGACAAAAAACTGATTTTATAATTTCAGGTGACCCTCCATTAAATGAGGGACATGCCCAATTCACAACGGTACCCTTTAAACTCGCTTTTATTATCATAGATCGTTCCTAACATGTCACTATTGTAGAGAAGAACTCGCTATTAAACATGATCAGTTTGTAGAAAGAAAAACAGGGATAACTCTATCAATTTTGCTAATACAAAAGGTTGCAAGGAACAGTTGTGTATCGGACATGAATGTAGGGTCAAATGGAATTACGCCAACAGAAATCAAATCTATTTAATAACTGAACCTTAATTATATATTTCGCATCCTTCAAAAAATAATAATTTTGTTTGTTATTAAAAGTTTATTTAATAATACTTGATATGTTATATAGTTATTACTTTCAATAAAATTATTACTTCAAATTAATGATACAAAAAATGTTTAATTAAATGTACTCATCAAAAAAGAGGCGCAATGACCTTTTTAAAACCCTTTTCGTTTCATATTAAAGTTACAAAATAATAATATGAAAAATGAATTAAATCATAGGTTCTAGACATTCAAATCATCAAAATGTGCCCGATAACGTTTTAGCTTTAAAATCACAGCCAAGAATAATGAAAAAAATTACGAATTAAAGAAGAGACAAAGTGTAGGAGGCTAATTTCGAGGAAAAGGAATTGAGTCTTTGCCACAGATTCTGATTTCTAATCCCTATATCCGTCCGTACAGCCCAATGTCGTAAACCTTAGATATTTCAAGCCATGAATTTTGTTAGATTACTTTAATGAAAGTTTGAAATATAAAAGGTTTACACACCGATCAGGCTGCAAAGATATAGGGATTAGAAAATTTGAAATTATAAATTAGAAATTGTGTTTGTGGCAACTGAATTCCTTTGACAGTACGAATGTTGTTCTTGAAGGGACTGAATATGTACATTCTAGTGACCCTTTATTTATAGAGTCTGTTTCACAAAATTAACGTTTAAACTTTTGTCTCATCAATGACGGCTGAGAAATCCATATTTTCCCCACTTAAAATGGGATGCAGACAATACCGGGAATCTAGCGTGTACACTAGTGTACAGTGTGAACTCTGGAAATGATTTTACATATTTCAGGAAAATTAAAAGACACGTAACTCTACAAATAGAATAGTGTCACTTGAATTAACGTCGACGTTCTATGATATAATTTGGGGATCTTTAATTCTTAAACATATTCAAACAAGGTAATACATCGATCATGAAATTTGACACATTTTTCACACTTTTTTCACATTTAAAATAATTGTTACCTTTTTGGAAATCCGCGTAATGCTTAATTTTTACTACAGTAAAGCAATATTATATTAAGCATGAAGATTTTTTGTGTATTTTTAAATAGGGTAACAATCAATTTAAGTCTATAATAAACACCATTTTTTAAAAACAGAAATTTCAAGGCATTTATTTAACTAATAAACCCATGCTTTGTTTAGCTGTTAAATGCAATTTATTATCGAAACGGCACAGTGGTTTTAAAGGCATTTGACTAGAATTCATAACTTAAATTTTGTGCGCTAGATATCTTAACTTTTTTCTTGTGCGTTTTCATCTTTATTGTTCAAAGAAATTTTTGATTATTTTTCTTGCCAAAAAGCATAATTATGTAGATACTTAGTTTTAAACATTGTACATCTAAAGATTTTTATAGAATTTTATTCTTGACTAGCTCAGCTGATTGGGAGCACAGTTTGACTAGCTCCATCAAGAGGGAGCATAGCTTGAATAGCTCCGACTAATGGGAGCAAAGCTTGACCAGTTCCGACTAATGGGAGCATAGCTTGACTAGCTCCGACTAATGGGAGCATAGCTTGACTTACTCCGATCAATGGGACCACAGCTTGACTAGCTCCAACCAATGGGAACACATCTTGACCAGCCCAAACCAATGGGGGCACATCTTGACCAGCCCAAACCAATGGGGGCACAGCTTGACTAGTTCTGAGATAATGAGATAACTGGGATATGTTTACTAGATATGGTTTCATATTTCCATTGTTTTTGATTCACATAAAAGTATTTTTCTTCACTTTAAAAGTTTATTTGTTTTCATCTTTCACGCTCGTACATTTCCTAAAACATATTTGATTAACATTAATGCTAAGTTCGAAAACATAAAAAATGTATAAGTCTTAATGTTTTCCGATGATTTATAATGTTTCACTTAACAGGACACACAGTTTTCTTTTTTACCTTGACTTAAGTATTTGACAGGATGCTTTTTACCACCCTGTTGCGTCTCTAAAGATAGATTTCCTCCTGATCAATAAAATATTTTCATCAAAAAAACTGAGAAAAAAATAAAATTGATGTTTTTCTTGCAATGGACTAAAAAGATATTGCTAAAACTCAACTACCAAATCTTTTCATCAGAAGTACCGTTCCGTCATCTTTTAATATGTTTTCTTTGTAACCTTAGAAATATGCTTCCATCCCCCTCTCCCCCTCATCCATCACCCCCCCCTAAACCTTGGATGTTCTAAATTCTAAAACTATAGAGTATATAGAGCCTGTTTCTAAACCTTTCATTTCCTCTGAGCTCCTGATTAATCTTTATAAAAGTCCCCGTTCTAAAGATGAAATTAATTTTCCTTTGTTGTTAGTCCATTTAATCCGAGGAGAATCTTTGGTAGCTGTTGGAGGAAATTCCAGGGCCCCTGAGGTGGAGTATTCCAGGGCCCCTGGCTGGTGGAAATCCAGAGCGCGTGTGTGTCCAAGTGCCGCGTAGTGTTCCGAGGGGTTTTCATAAATGTCGGACATGTAGGCAGAGGAGTTTGCGTCGTAGCCTAGTGTTTCCTAAACAAATTTCAATTAAAATAAAAACCTCAATACTATAAAAAGATTAAACATTGTTAGGAGAAACCATAATATTTGTTTGTAATATCAAACATACTGACATTTGTTAAAAATTTTGGAACAGAATTTCTCCCAAAATTTAACATTCTATTTTATTATTTATAACTAGCTGGCAATGGAAAAAAATGAAAAAAATGAAAAAAATTCAATGGCCAGCTATAGGGAACATTTATACGAATGTCTTGTTTTATTATATAGATTTCGATAACAATTTTAAATGCATTCGGTAAGAATTATATTAGGAACAAAATTTTTGGGTTCTTTTTTCATACATTTTTATATTTGCCAAGTTTTAACCCTGTTGTGTGTGAAGATAATACATATTCATGATATGCACTGCAGAGCTAGTGCTTCCTAATGCATAGAACATTGTTATTTGAATCTGTAAATTAAAGGGATTGTTCGCAAAAAATGAAAGGGGTATAAGCTTATGGCGAAAAATAATCGCTACTAATCTTCATTCTATCTGTTGCGTCTATAAGGAAAAAATTGTTGAAACGACTTATACTGAAGAATGTGTAGCATCCATACAAATTCAGAAAGTTGCAATATACGAACGTAAAAAAATCAATCTAATTTTAACAAATCATTCAAATATTATAACCTATAGTCATCAATTGCGTCAAAAAATAATCAAAGACTTTAGGTTGTAATATCTGAATGATTTGTTTAAAAATAAATCGATAATTTTACGATACAAGTTGTATATTGCAACTTTCTGAATTTGTATGGACGCTACATTCTTCAGTTTATGTCGTTTTAAACAATTTTCTCCTTATAGGCGCAACAGATAGAAGTAAGATTAGTAGCGATCAAAAGCGATTATTTTTCGCTGTTCGCCTATACCCCCTTTCATTTTTCCCGAACACTCCCTTTAATGGGAGAATCTTATTCAGAATAATTAAGTAGATACCCAATTTATTCCTTGCTAAATTATTGACTTTGTGACATAAACTAAGATTGGAACATTATTTATCTTTCAACATTGATCCACGGGGAAATTACCTGGAATGGCGATGTGGTGAGATAGGATTCCATGGGATTATCAACCATATTTATTTGACCCCACGTCGAGTTTTTTGACTGATTCCCAGCATGCTTTGAGATAAGGGGAGACTGATTCCCAGGATGGGAAGTTAGTTGGTGATCTGTATTATTTGACATGAGAACATTCTGAAAATGGTATTAGTCAATTTATGTCAAGTAAATCCATTGACTTTCCTCTCATATTATGTATTTATTATTTCATAATCAAAAAATGTCCAATACAATTCTAAAGATCTAGCTGTTTTTGGTAAAATTCTGCAAGGAAAAAGAAAATATGAAGTGTGAAATATCTGCAGTAATTAACAGCTAATGAGAGCTGACAATCCAGAATGCAGAAAAACACAAATTTCCAACAAACAGATTTTTTTAATGAATTGAAAAAGAAATTCCAAAGTTTTACATTCTTATTTTTTTTAAAAACTTTTTCAGAAAATTTTTAAAGTTAAGATCAAAATCAATATTTATTTGGAACAGGTTTCATTGAAATTCTATTCTGAATAAAATATTTGGAAATATTTCAATTTTCTAAATTTAATTTTCAAATTCTAAAATCTGATATTACACAATCAAAAAGTAAAAATTTTATAAAGGTTCTCCACTTACTTTATTCCAGGCTGATTTATTGCCCCTGGGGGTCCTTAGGGATGCTTCTGAATCACTTGGGGGATAGTCAGGAGGTGGTGGGAACATTTCACTCCAATTTGGTATATAAACTCCACTACAAACATTAACAATAAGTAGAGAAAGGCACGCTCTTTCTTTTGAAAATCGTTTGTTCCGCGTTCAACAAGATTGTATAAGATTTAATTAGCATTATCGTTTAGGTTAGTTAAATATGTTAAATATGTTAAATATATAAATATGTTAAATATGTTAAATAGGTTAAATATCTTAAATATCTTAAATATCTTATATGTCTTAAATATCTTATATATCTTAAATATCTTAAATATCTTAAATACTAACCAAATCAAATAAGATTATTCACACAACTCAGTACCAGAAAAGTTAGTAGATTTTAATTTTTATTTCGCTCAACTTTTTTTCGAGTTCGTAATTTCCTTAAATTGCTCCTTTCAAAGGAAAAACGCCAGAAAGGTCAAAAATCGTTGTTTACAAAAAGTTTTCCTCTTCAGCTAGATTTAGTAATGTTTCATGTTAACATGATGTATACAACTCTACCTGCCACTGCTGGGTTTACTATTAATCGAGCTGCCCCCACTGGAAGAACTGGTTTTGTATGCAAACTGGTTTCCTTCTGGGTATTCAGGATGCAGGTACGGATCCTGAAAATCAAAATGGGTTTAAAGAGACTGTATGCGTAAGTTCAAGTAAATTTCCATTTGTAGAATGGCTTGTCCTATTCACAAAAGTATCCTGTAAAGTGTTCACTGATTATTCATATCAATTTACTAAAATGCTAGAAATTGTTTAAGTTTTAGTTTGCAAGCTGTTTGTTCAAGAAATGGTAAGGTGGGGGTCCTAAAAATAAAAATGGTTTAATCTAGAAAAAGATTAATCTAAAGTTAATCAAAAGTTAATTAAATAAAAGAAGTAGTGTTTACACAAGAATCCATTTAGATAAAAAGATGAATTGAATTGTGCAGGTTCACCTACTTAGAAATTATAAACTTTAACATTATCATCATTATTATTCTAATTATTATTGTTATCATAAAAATTATTATTATTAATATTATTACTATTGTTATTACTATTATTGTTATTATTATTATTATTAATATCATTATTATTATTATCATTATTATTATTATTATTATTATTATTATTATAATTATTATTACTATTACTATTATTATCATTATTATTATTATCATTATTATAATTACTATTATTATTGATGGTAATAGATCAATTGTGTTCATTCAAGAATAGGATAATGTTTTTTTTTCAAAACGGATATTTATCTTTGGGCGTTACTTCCCTGAATTTTGGCAAACACGCAAAAACTAAACATTACACCATTTGTTAGTCAAATATTGACATTATTAGAAATAGCTAATATGCATGTTAATATTTATATTTTGCTTCGTAGAAAAACATATAGGCTAAACAATTTATAAATGAAACTTGACCAATAGAACACGTTAATCCTGCAGTACGTAAGGGAAAAATATTACTTTTGTATAAAAAAAAATAAAATTGACCTGAGATGGAATTTAAAGAATTTGAACCTTGGTTTAAATCCGCCAAAACCCGATTTAAATTTAGCGCCGGCTTAAATCTTGAAACATTTGATACAATTTTAAGTGGAACCAACCATATTTAAGCCGCGGCTTAAATTTAAACCGCCGCTCAAATTCTTTAAATTCGGCCAATGTTTTATTAAATCCGCAAAACTTCTGTGATATATCCTCAAATCATTTAAAATAAAGATTGCAACCGTAGATACCGGAAACAATATAAAATATTGTCTTTGAAAACAAACAACAGTTTTTATTTCTCTGAAAGGGACATTTCTGTCATAGTTTATTTCAACTCCGGTTCGTCTGACCAAGAGTATGTATATTTAAACTTTATATTTTGAATGTTGTGTTTTAAATAAGCATTTAAACTGATTTATTGCGGTATATTGAATGATTTTACATTAATAATTAAAATATTATTCTTTTTTTGCCCAAGTTTTTGAAGTTTTTCAAAAATAACCGAAATAAAAAAATGTTTTTACCTGTTTTTCATATCTATTCTGCATTGGTATACATGTAGTAGCGTAGGGTTCAGGATCCTACATAATAAATCAAATAAAACCTATTAGACACAGTAAACACAAGCTAAAATGTACAATGCACTAGGTTTAAAATAAATATGGGTGTGTTAGTACGGTAAAACCAAATGCACAGGAGTTGCGAAACTTAACCGGTCTTGATAATTGATGTATAATTTTCATAGCTGAATTCATTTTTTTACCCATCAGGAAGACTGCAAAGACAGTTCAATAAGCCAAAAATTTTTCAAAGCCATCAAATATTAGCAAAGGTTCCGTCCCCAAAGGAGCCTGTCCTTTTGGGCCGGAGTTTTCTTCTCTTTAGGGTTCTGTCAATAAGCGAGAGACAATGATCTATTCTGATTTCTGATAGACCTGGAAAGTACGGGCTTTACATACAAACAAGCAAATATTAACTCATAAAAACACTTATCTGTGGAGCGATCAAGATGATATATTACAGGAACTAACCTGATATTGATTATGAGAGTGTGATGTTCCAGCAAAAGTAGAAAGGTATCCTGCCCCCTCCCCTAGTAGCAACCCCTCCCCCACCTCGGCATAGATAGATCCACCAGGATCCTCCTTGCAATCCATACTCTCCCTGCAACAATAGTTTTAATATCTAATAACATAATTTAATCAAAGGGACTGTAGAAGTATATTCAAGAGACTCTCCATTTATAGAATGGGCATTTCCAATTCACAACTGTACCCATTAAACCTTAGACCTATCAAAGACGGTAGAAAAATTATTTTTCTCATAGAAAATTGATTTTTAAATGCCAAGGTGTACACTAGTGTACAGTGCAAAAGGCCTTTTTTTAATTCAAAAGAGAATTTTTTTTGTTGCGATTCCCGCGGAAAATAAATAATAATTTCGTTGAATTTAAAACAACTTGCATACAAAATAATTCAAGTGGTTCTTGGGATAAAATACGCATTTCGAAAAGGATTTAGTTTCAGCGAAAAGAAAGTATGACATCATTGATCAGACAAAGCTTTTACAAGTACTTTGCCACTCTACAAATATAGGATCGCATGCAATTACTCCAGCCTCTTTAAAAAAGATAACATTTTCTTTAACATAAATGTTAAAAAATGTGCTTAAATGTAACCTGATAAAACTCTGTTTTTCGAAAGTATTCTGCTCTGCTTGTGTAATCCACAGGTTTTCAGCTCTATAGGATTTTACAGGTTCACCCTCAAACCCCTGAACAACAAAATATAAGAATTGGAATTTAAGAAAAAATTGCTTTTCATAAAAATTTTAATCGGTAAAAATCAATATGTAAAAAATAAATTACTCTCAGCAAACTCTATTTGCAAACTGATGCCTTTGATATACTGAACTAAACATTATGGATAAGAATATTAGATGAGAAATCAATTCCTTTGATATACTGAACTAATTAGATGAGAAATCAATTTCTTTGATATACTGAACTAGACATTATGGATAAGAATATTAGATAAGAAATCAATTCCTTTGATATACTGAACTATAGACATTATGGATAAGAATATTAGATGAGAAATCAATTTGATATACTGAACTAGACATTATGGATAAGAATATTAGATGAGAAATCAATTTGATATACTGAACTAAACATTATGGATAAGAATATTAGATGAGAAATAAATTCCTTTGATATACTGAACTAAACATTATGGATAAGAATATTAGATGAGAAATCAATTTCTTTGAAATACTGAACTAAACATTATGGATAAGAATATTAGATGAGAAATAAATTCCTTTGATATACTGAACTAAACATTATGGATAAGAATATTAGATGAGAATCAGTTCCTTTGATATACTGAACTAAACATTATGGATAAGAATATTAGATGAGAAATCAGTTTCTTTGATATACTGAACTAAACATTATGGATAAGAATATTAGATGAGAAATCAATTCCTTTGATATACTGAACTAAACATTATGGATAAGAATATTAGATGAGAAATCAATTCCTTTGATATACTGAACTAAACATTATGGATAAGAATATTAGATGAGAAATCAATTTCTTTTAGCTTTAAACTAATAATTTGGAAATTTTACTTCAAAGTGAATACATTGTAATGGTTTCATTCGTATCATTAAATTCAGCATTCGAATTTTTTTTACAGAGTTTTGTTTGTGAATGAGGTTTTAATGATTTTCACGTCTTTTTTTTGGTTCTAAAAAATTTAGGAGTCATGACCAAAAATGTTTCCTGATTCTATTTGCATGGCGTTCCCAGATTTATTCTACACATTTCCTAAAGTTTAAAGAATTGCGCAAACACATTGTTAAATTCAATTGTTTTGTTGCAACCATGTGCAAACCTTACAATAAACATTCTCTAAATGCAGATTTTAGAAACTGCATAGCTCTAGTACAACAGAAGAGTGGATTGCTTTTTAAATATATAAATGTGGTAAGCTCTGTATTTGGAATTGTAAAAACTATCAGTTACCCCCCAAAAGGGGTGGGCACTGGGAAAGTTAAACATAAAACTGTTTTTATTGATCTATTTAATTATTTTTAATTAACAGTTTGAGTTCTATTCTTTTTCATCAACCCGAATTGGAGAGATTTATTTTTTTATTTCAAAGTTCCATTTGTTTCATCCGGGCAACTGATTGTTCTGCACATAACAACGTAAAGGAATTGAGTCTTTGCCACAAACTCTGATTTTCTAATCCCTATATCTTTGCAACTTAATGTCGTAGACCTTTGATATTTAAAACTATTAATATTGTTTGATCAAATAATCTAAGTTGGAAATATAAAAGGTTTACACCGTCAGGTTGCAAAGATATGGAGATTAGAAAAATTAGGATTTGTGTCCAAGACTCAATTCCTTTTTTCAAAGAACTCTGTAGTTTTGCATACAAGCAATGTAAATACTCGCATATTTTAAACAAAGAATTCTGCTAGAATAAATAGGTAAAAGTATGAAAGATCAAAAGTTTACAACACAAGATTGCAATGATATAGGGATTATAAATTTTGAATTTTAGTAGAGTTATCAGTTCCGGTTCGTATTATCAGCTCACACAAGTTTAAGAGTTTTCAGTCATCATTTCCCAAAAATCCCATTTTAGAGTTATGAACGATCAAATATAGTTTGGGACACCATGTCTTAAGTTACCTTGATACATTGATGGTCCTGTCCCCTCCTATTGGTCTGCATCTGACTAGTTACCTTGATACAATGATGGTCCTGTCCCTTCCTGTTGGTCTGCATCATCTGCCTAGTTACCTTGATACATTGATGGTCCTGTCCCTTCCTGTTGGTCTGCATCTGCCTATAGACGATGAGCATGATGAACAGGACAACCAGGACAAACAGGATTCCACTGATCAGAGCAATGAACCAGGTCTGAGCACCTAGATATACAACAACAACAATTAGATAATTTTATATTTTCATATTCAACTATATATAATACAGTGAGACCCATAAACAGTGGGGTAGGAAGACGTCTGATAAACTCAGTAATTATAATTATAAAAACATTGTTATAAATAATTTGAATTATCCAATAATCTTTAAACTAAGTTGATTTAAAACCTGCTGGCATGAAATGAGCCTTTATAGCAAAATCAAATGTGTATTCTTCCACAGTTTTTTGTGTCTCACTGTACTAGAGCCGAGTATATGATAATATGCTGAAAATTTATTGCCATTATAAAAAATCTTTAACTGAAGGATAACTGGTCCTCTAATGATACATGACGGAAAATAGGAAATGGAAAAGCTTGAATGAATGAACATGAAATTGATCCAATTCAGAAAACTGTTTAAATATACATCAGCTCTCAATTGCAGAATAAATTTTTAATTACTCTTTTATGCTCAAATGGTTTAATCATTAATTCTCTTTTACATTTATTTAATCATTTCTGTATTATTTTTAACAACAAGGAAGCCGAGATTCATCAAAAACAGAACGGCTTTCATCTGTTCCAGACCTACCTATAGATCTTTAAGCTAAGTTCCATATCCGTCCCAGACCTACCTAGATCTTCAAGCTTGGTTCTATATCCGTTCCAGCCCAGCGTAGTTCTTCAATCTGGGTTCCATATTCGTTCCAGACCTACCTAGATCTTCAAGCTGGGTTCCATATTCGTTTAAGACCTACCTAGATCTTCAAGCTGGGTTCCATATCCGTTTAAGACCTACTTAGAACTTCAAGCTGGATTCTATATCCGTTCCAGACCTACCTAGATCTTCAAGCTTGGTTCTATATCCGTCCCAGACCTACCTAGATCTTCAAGCTGGGTTCCATATCCGTTCCAGACCTACCTAGATCTTCAAGCTAAGTTCCATATCCGACCCAGGCCTACCTAGATCTTCAAGCTGGATTCCATACCTGTTCCAGACATACCTAGATCTTCAAGCTGGGTTCCATATCCGTTCCAGACCTACCTAGATCTTCAAGCTAAGTTCCATATCTGTCCCAGACCTACCTAGATCTTCAAGCTGGATTCCATACCTGTTCCAGACCTACCTAGATCTTCAAGCTGGATTCTATATCCTTTCAAGACCTACCTAGATCTTTAAGCTTGGTTTAATATCCATTCCAGACCTACCTAGTTCCTCAAACTAGGTTCCATATCCGTTCCAGACCTACCTAGATCTTCAAGCTGGGTCCCATATCCGTTCAAGATAGAGTTTAGAGAAGCTGATAGATCAAGGGTAAAGAAGACAGGAGGAGAGGATGGACTAGCTCCCTGAAATTTAAAAATGATTTAATCCTGAAGATTTGTCAATGATAAACAGTTAACTTTTGAGCAGCAAATTAATTGTAATTTGTTTAAGAGATTTTAGATCTAACTTTAAATGACTCTTTATTAAATTCTTATAATTTCCTTCATTGTCTTTGTAGTAAAAATCTCCAAGTGGCCTGAAAGGAGAATCAACCATGGAAAATATTCATTTTTCCGAGAGAGGGATACTTATTCAAACATCATCAGGCAAAGATTTTAAAGGTACCGTTGTTAATCGAACATTCCTTTCATTAAATGTAGGGTCACTTGAAAGTATGCCTAGTGCCTACGCCCTACAGTTCATGTATTGGACTGTTAATGCAATACCTTTTCGATATGATAATTTTTAACATAATTTTAATGATGAAAAAAAAATTATTTACCATGTTTGTATAGGCTACTGCTCTGATGAGATAAACTGTATCCAGTGTAAGGTTAGTTATGAGTAGTGATGTGGAGGTAACAGGAACACGTAGTTCAGCATGAACAGATCTATTCGTCTCAATCTATAAACAAATATTAATAATCATTTCATATGTAGACTAAAAATATATTTTTCTTTAATTTTGCAGCAGTAGTAGCTTCATAATCATTGATGCAAATATAATAAAAGGAACGTAGACCTAATTCAATGTAACCCTCCGAATAGCCAGGCACTATTATGAATCGGACAAGCTACTCTAAAAACGGAGACGAACTTGAACAGTCTCTTGAAAGGGCTGAGTGACCTTGAGTGTATAGAAAAGCAGAACTCCATTTCTATGTTGGGGCGGAGGCGGATTCCATGATATGACAGCAGAACTGGAATTTATTGTCTCCGCCATCAGGTTCCCAGGCGGAGCAGACGGCGTATCCTGGGCGAATAATATATATATACTATTTGTTAGAAATTTTGTGAATGCTCAAACTCTAATTGGTTTAGCCTAATATCTTTGAAACATGATGTCATTGACCTTTGATATTTCAATATTAAAAGTGTACACCATCGGCTGCTAATATCCTATTACATAATAAGAGTTTGAGGCAAGCACTCAGCGACTTTGTGATGGAAGCCAAAGTGTTTTGTATTCTATTTTGCATCAAAAATAAAGATATAAATTCCAATACTCATATCTTTGCAACATAATGTTGTAGACCTTAGATATTTCAAACTATGTTTCAATACTTTAAGTTTATTATCAAATGATTACAACATCAGGTTGCCAAGATATAGGGATTAGAAAATTTAAGTTTGTAACAAAGAGCCAATTCTTTAGTTACCTCAAGAGTCTGAATATCCTTTGAGTTAGAAGGTTGACCCTCAATATTCCTGAAGAAAGGGATCAAGAAGAACTCGTACTTGGTGAACTTCCTCAGGTTGATCACAACATAGTTGTTGGTCACGGAGTCCTTCAGGATCGTGATAATGTTAAACTTCCTCGATCCACCGGACATATCACAGAATCTTGAAAACAAGAAAATCAATTATTAAGTATATGCAGGGACCAAATTCAATAAATTTAAGCTAGGTCGCTGAACTATTTTTTGCCGATTCAAAGTTGAATTACCGATTCATAGATAAAGATTCAAGAGGATTTGAATATGCGATTTAAGATTTGAACCATTGGAAGGTAGTTTAGCGACCTCTCTCATTAGATAATTATGGCCCCAGGCTACATAAAAAAACAATAAAATTCTTTGCGAAATAATCAGAATCAAACTCTTTTCAAGCCAAACAGAACGAGGTTATCTTCTATTTTATTAATATTATGAAGGTGAATACGACATGACCCTCCTCTTTAAGTGGAGTTTTACATGAAAGTACGTCCACAGTTTCTTTAATAAAAAGTTGAGAAAACAAACTATTTATTCTAAAATACTAAGGCTTAGTTTAAAAGGTATACCTGATATAGAATCCTTGAATGTATTCTGTATCTGAGAGTAAATTCCAAGTTATCCTAAACATAAAATTTTTTTTTTATAAAACATCGAGAATAAAATGTTTTGCACTTTATTTAGTATTTTTTTTTCAAAAATCTTTTCGTTACTCTATTTTTCTAAGAAATAAGAAGTATGATGACAGTAATCCGTTTCCTAACCTGACACTGGTTGAGCTGATTGCCTCGAGGTCAACTAGTTCAACCAGCTTACTCAAAAGAACTTCTCGAGCCAACTCTAAATTTTCTTCCCTAAAAAAGAGATTCTATTTTTAAACAAAATCTTTTTAACAAGTTAAAGTTTAAAAGCATTCAGGGCAGTCTTCCCTATACATGATTCTTTTCAAACCACTATTTTATTCGTGATATTAAAATTTCAAAGTTCGCGGATTTTTGTTAACATTGTTGGATTTTTTAAATTCGAAGAAATCTAGGTTTTAAAGCCACAAGTTTTCAATTTAGACCAGCCATAAATAAAAGTTGTGCCTAATCGATTCAGCCTTTTTGGATAAAAACAAACAGACACTCCATTAACCATCCAGAAAGTCAAGTTTATAAAAAGAATCAAAAAAAGAAAAAAATCAAGATGGAATATTAGGGCCCATTGCTATTTCTAATATTTTTATATAAATAAATTCTAAAAGGAAATGTAAAGAACATATTTCTTAATAAACTTTCCAAGTACTGCTGAAAAGAAGCATTTTTCACTATCTTTTCATCCTATTTCTTTTCATAAATTTACATAAAATATTTTGAAGGATTTTAGAGCAAAAGAATGCTCAGCATTTTCTTCATAATCGAGAAACTTTTCCCCTTAGCGAATATTAAATATTCATATGAATCCTGAACAAAAAGTATGAAAGGAAAGAATGTGTAAAATCTTTAACGAACTATTTTGTCATCTCTGAGTCAACATTTGCCCAGTGTGATAAAGTTTAAATTTTATTGCTCAATTTTAAATTATGCTGAACAGTTCAAATTTTACGGAGCCTCTTGAATCTTGATTGAAAGCCCAAAAACATAAAGGATCCAGGGATGAAATCCAAAAACTTATAATTTAGGAATGAAATCCAAAAAACCTAGGATCCAGGGGTGAAATAAAAGAAACCTAGGATCCAGGGGTGAAATAAAAAAAACCTAGGATCCAGGGGTGAAATAAAAAAAACCTAGGATCCAGGGGTGAAATAAAAAACCTAGGATCCAGGGGTGAAATAAAAAAAGCCTAAGATCCAGGGATGAAATAAAAGAAACCTAGGATCCAGGGGTGAAATAAAAAAACCTAGGATCCAGGGGTGAAATAAAAAAAACCTAGGATCCAGGGGTGAAATAATAAAACCTAGGATCCAGGGGTGAAATAAAAAAGCCTAAGATCCAGGGATGAAATAAAAGAAACCTAGGATCCAGGGGTGAAATAAAAAAAAACCTAGGATCCAGGGGTGAAATAAAAAAACCTAGGATCCAGGGGTGAAATAAAAAAGCCTAAGATCCAGGGATGAAATAAAAGAAACCTAGGATCCAGGGGTGAAATAAAAAAAAGCCTAAGATCCAGGGATGAAAGCCCAAAAACATAAAGGATCCAGGAATGAAAGTCCAAAAACATATGATTCAGGGATGAAATCCAAAACCTGGGATCAAGGGGTGAAATCCAAAAAAACCTTGAATCCAGGGATGAACACAAAACAAAGACCTAGGATCCAAAAGTGAAAACAAAACAAAAACCTAGAATCCAGGGGTGAAAACCAAAAACCTATTCTCCAGGGGTGAAAACCAAAAAACCTTTGATTCAGGGTTGAAAGCCAAAAAACCTTTGATTCAGGGTTGAAAGCCAAAAAACTTAAATCCAGAATCTAGAGGCAAAAGCCAAAAATAAACCCCAGGATCCAGGAGTGAAAGGCAAAAGAGCTAGGATCAAGGGTTGTAAGTCTGTATCCCAGGTTCTTTTTGGCTTTTGCTTTTTGATTTCCTAGTTCAAGAACCATATAAAGTGCTTTTAAAAATATAGAAATATCTACTAAATTTTGAACATTTTTAAGGTATATATGTGGATTTAAAGAGGTTATTTGTTTGAATCCAAACCTTCCCCTTTCCTCCCTTTCCACTCCCCTCCCTCCCTTTCCCCCACTTTCCATTTCCCTTGGTTATTAAAAATGTTCTAAACTGGATGGATTGTCAGAAACAAAGAATTGCTGGATCTGAGCTTAGTTATTAACAACAACGGTTGCCAGAATTTCCAATGGGGGAAACTGATTTTCTAGTAATAAAAGAAAATGTTCTTTAATGTAAATGTACACAGGTTGGAACTTTTGAACGGACCAAATCAGTTTAACTCATTTTGGTGACAAAGCTAAACCGATTTGTCATACCTTATGTACATTACCCAAAGTTTATGCCAATTACCGATTGGTTCAATATTGGTTTTATTTGGACCAATTAAAGATTAGTAAATCTAGGAGTGAGTAGATAATGAGCTGAGCTGATTCCATGCCTTCAACATTTCTCAGCTTAGGTCATGGATCTATCATATTTCAGGATCATATCAAAACATGGATCATGGATCTATCATATTTCAGGATCATATCAAAACAAAAATGTTTTTGATAATCTGATCCGGAAAAGTAAATTAAAGCTTTATTTTGTTCTTCATAGGTTTCAAGCTTAAGAGTAGGGAACTTATTTAAGATCAAAATTTTCTATAAGAAACTGAATACTTGTCACAAAGTCGAATTTTCGGATTTTGAAACTTCTCGGATCTTGGCAAGATTCCGGGGACCAGAAATGTGCTTGCTAGCCAGATCGCTTCACACTGGCGTAAGTCGTTTGATATTAAATTTGACTTTTTGATCCAACAGAATTCACAGTTTGAAATATCAAAGAAATGCAACATAGTTTTTGGAAAGATACAAAAATAAACAAATTATAGTTTGTGGAAAGTTTTCAGTATTTTTGTTAAAAATGCTGAAATTTTGATAAAATACCAAATTATTTAGTTTAAAAAATCATCTGAGAGCGGTTGGAGGGAGGGGCGCTGTCAACCTCCCCCCCCCCCCTAAACTTCAACCTCTAAATCTAAACTAATCTCATAAAACAGATTGAATTGCAGAAGAATACTCAGGATCTAGCCCTCTCCCCCCTTCAACCTTCCTTTTCCAAGAATTTCAAAATATTTGAAGTCAATACCTGTTGTCAAATCCTAGTTTAAACGTCTTCACAGTTCTGAAATAAAAAGTTATAAAAAATAAGATTATTTAAATACGCTTAAACATGCTGTTGGATGGAATAATTGCATCACAAGATGTAATTATACGGACCAGGTCCTTTCTGCAAGATACAGCATACAGCTGGCATACAGTCGTCGTCATATATATCAATACATTGAAGACGACTTTGATTTAAATTTTGATTTCTATTAAGCTTCCAAACACGAAAACGTGTACATAAACATGGGAACAAAGAGAAACTCTCATTTGACAGCTTCTTTTTGTTAACTTGTGAGCTTAAAATTTGAAAAAAGATTGTTAGAAATCAAAACTTAAACAGAAAAGTCGTCTTCATCGTATTGATATAAACGTCGACCACTGTACCTGGATATAGGAGAGGGTGGAGATGAACCATGAGAGTTCTCTGCTCTAACAGTAAATACGTATTCAGTATCCGGTCTAGTATTATTAATTAATAATCATTGACAAATATGGAATTTGAAAACAAGCTTTTTTGGAAAACTTTGTATTTTAGAATCAAACTTGTTACAAGTCAAATGAAAACATATATTTAAAGGGACTGTACGCGATATTTCAAATGATAACTAAAATGTAAGAATATGAGGAATGTATAAGAATGTAAGTTTGCTTGTATAAACTACTGACAACTAAAATGTATAAATATGAGAAATGTATAAGAATGTAAGTTTGCTTGTATGAACTACTGACAACTAAAATGTATAAATATGAGGAATGTATAAGAATGTTAGTTTGCTTGTATGAACTACTGATAACTAAAATGTATAAATATGAGAAATGTATAAGAATGTAAGTTTCTTGTATAAACTACTGACAACTAAAATGTAAGAATATGAGGAATGTATAAGAATGTAAGTTTGCTTGTATAAACTACTGATAACTAAAATGTAAGAATATGAGAAATGTATAAGAATGTAAGTTTTCTTGTAAAAACTAAAAATGTATCAATATGAAGGATATACAAGATTGATCTTCTACTATAATATAATCTCAGTGTTCCAGGACATTAAACATAGATATAGATGGTACTCGTTCCGTCATCTTTCATATAGGGATTGACACTCATCTATCTATCTATCTATCTATCTATCTATCTATCTATCTATATATCTATATATCTATCTATTTATCTATCTATCTATCTATCTATCTATATATCTATCTATCTATATATCTATCTATCTATCTATCTATCTATCTATCTATCATCTATCTACTTATCTATCTTTCTATCTATCTATCTATCTATCTATTTATCTCTTTATCTATCTATCTACTTAAATGATTAATTTACCTAAATTCGAAAATATGAAAATAAAAATACTGAATAAAGGATATTTATACTAATATACAAATATATTCCCTGCTAGCTTACATATTGATATATATGCGCATAAAATGTATGTTTTTATTCATATAAAATAGAAAGGTAGGAAAAATATTGCTTCCAAAAAATCCAGGTTTAGATAGATAAAAAAGGATATAAAAAGCTGAATTTATATCAGAAATAACAAACCAAAACTTCTTAACCCATGTTTTATGTCCAAATATGACAAATGATACATCATTAGAAAGCTCTTGTGCTCTACTTTTAGAATAACAGCCTCAGACCAATACTTTTTGAGTTATGTAAAAAAAAACTACAGGGGGGGGGGTCAAATTGACCCCCCCAGCAGGAATAGGGTTAAAGGTACTATAGGTACTTCAGGCAGCCCTCAACCTCCATTTATAAATGGGCATGTCTTATTCACAACAGTACCTTTTGAATCTTTATCTGTTCATGCCAATCTATAAATGAAGGGTCCCTTGTAATTACGCCAACACAATCCCTCTAATCGTTTCAATTGAAATAAGAATTGCGGAAAGATTATTTAATTAATTCCTTAAGTTCTCCACAGTATACTGTTCCCCAGAAACTCTGAAAATAAAAAGTTAAAGTTTGAAAACATTTGGTGGAAAACTTAATTTGCTAGATGAAACTTGAGCTAATTCTTGAGTCTGTTGACAAAGCAAAAAGCTGATTATTATAAAAAGCTGTTAAAGTAAAATACTAAAGTTTTTGAACAAAAACTATGTACACTACATTGTGTAAAGTGTGTGTCATTTGCACAGCTTGTTGTGTACTGTACCTGTACGCAGCTACCACCCAGCCTGTCTGTAGCTGTACACTGTAGTACTCTACTGTATACCCTGTACATAAAAGGAATGTTGTGCTCAAACAACAACAGTTATCTTTATCTTTTACCCGTCAAACTTGTTCAATTATTTCCCTTCAAAATTATATTAGAGTTTTCAAACCAAACAATTCTAATGGATTCTAAAATTCCTTTCTACAGCCCTTCTGGCTTAACTGTAGAGTTGTGGGGGGCTTACCTGGACTTGATATATTGGTTGCAAGATATATTACAGATATTTGGAATATATTATATTAAATCCTATATCCTCAATATTGTCTCAGCTCCGAGAAAATATATATTGGTATTTTCTCTTCTCTCTCTCTTTTTCCTCTTTAATATAGCAAAATAAGAAGATAAATTCTCAGAAAAAAAGACAACAAAAAACGCCACAAACGAATAACAAAAATATTTGGTCTATAAATATGAAAAGTCAATATTTGTAGTAATTATAGAAAGACCGATATATATTCAGGAAATAAAGAAATAGCAATTGAGAAATTAGAAATTATAATAAAGAGACAAAGAAGATTAGATTGAAGAGTAGAAAGTTAGATATCTAGAAATAGACATAAAAAGATTGATTTGACAAAAACTAAGCTTTGTAAATCTGCTCAACCCATTGTTTGTTGATAGATAAGTAATTGTTCAATAAACAAGAAAATAAACATTACAATTCAATCAATTGATTTATATCTAAAGTACCCTCCCCCCCCCTCCCTTTGTCCCCTCTTCACCTGTCCTCATGGGCTGAAATCGAAAAAAATCAAGAAAGTTATGCAGAAAATGGAAATCTCAAAATGAAAAAATCTTGTTTTAAAAATACAAAGATAATCTCTGAAATATAATAAAATATTTTTGCTATTTTCTTTACAGAAGAAAAGAATCCGTTTTTACCATAAAGAACTTGGTCTCAAAACAGAACAATAATCAATTCTATATTATGTTTTTATCGAACCTCCCCCCCCCCTCCATCTCTTTCCTGCTTCTTACTGCAGTATCAACATATCCTCCCTATAAGCTGTGATGCCCCTGAGTTCAGATTTCTCTGCCAGGCTAGGGTGATGTAGGTGGGGCCCCTGTCCCCCACCTCAGGGCGACCAGGGGGACGTGGAAAAGTTACAGGGTCCGGAGATCTAAACAACAACAAAATAAAAACATAATTTACACGTATTTATGTTTTAGAAATCTAAGTTACCTGTGAAAAATGATGTTTGGATTTTTAGGATCCTCAACTGATATATACGCTGACCAGCTCGTCTCCCCGCTAGCTGACCTAGCTGTACAGGTGTACAGTCCTGTATCCTCTAAACCCAGCTCTAGATATACATAATTTATTTATATATGTTTATTAATCTCTCTACATTTTTGTCTGTTTGGATGTCCGCGATCTTAACTCAGAACCCATTGACCGATTTGCCTCAATTTTTTATCAGTGCACTCTAAGTTTAGTAGGTCAACTTTTATAAAGAAAACTCCAGGCAAAATTGGGTTTCTAAGCTAGTATATATGTCTTCTAACTTTAACTCTAGATATAGATATACATTGTACTCTCCATTTGTACGCTGATCTCAGATTAGGTTAAATACAAACATTTTTTAGTCAACTCATGTCGTAGAGAGATTGGGGAATGTTGTTAAATGCAATTAGTATATTTTGGATGCCATTATTTATAAATATTTTCAAGTAACTACGTTTCCAGCGCTCAGGTTTCTAGCAATTATACCTGTATAAAATGATTGATGATGAACAAACAAACAAAAAGTCAATAGAAAAGGAAATAATGAAAAAAATTATTATTTGTCAAAAAAAGAAAAAAAATATTATTTGTCAGAAAAATAAAAAAATAATTATTTTTCCCATCAGGAGGTCTAGAGGAATACAAAGGTTGAATGGAAGGGAAGATTGGAGGCGAAAAGGGGGGAGGAAAGATTGGAGGTAAGGAGGGAGGGGGAACAGGGAAGGTAAGGGTTCGGAGAGGGTACAGGAAAGATTGGAGGTAAGGAGTAAAGGGGAGGGGGAAGGACCTCAGGTTTAAAATACAATATATAAAATAGTCATAAGTTTGTTAAGCCCTAAATAAAATATTACGAAAGATCGAAAAAATTGTTAACATTTCTCTACGCGTAAAAAAATAACTTAATTTTTCTATGCAAATTTTTTACAATTGTTTAGAGAGAAAAAAAATAAATTTTACAAGCTTTTTATCTAGTTATTGGCAAAAGAGAGCTGGATATATGATTATATGTTAGTTAAACTAGCTGAAAATTTGTTGCCTCTAAATTTTTTTTTTAATTAAGAAAAAAATTAAAATTTTGAAAAAAAATTCTAATTTTGCTTATCCTATGTCAACCCTCGGCTACCCAAGAGTCTCCACAAAAAAAAGTCAACCCATTCGGTTAAGCCGTTTGGTCGGCCAGAGGGAATATATGTATGAATGGACCTTGTTCTATTATATAGATAGTCTGGATAGAGATGAATATATTATAGATATATCTTCCGATATATCGGCAAAATACAGGTGCTAGAACTCCTATATATCATACAAGGAACAAGAAAAAGAAAGAAAATAAAATAAATCATTGTGTTAAAAGTAAAAGCAAAAAAAGAAATTCTAAATCATTTTTAAAAATGGAGGATATGAAAACTTATTCCAGACTTGTCCCGGACTGAATATTTTGCAAGTTATTTTTTGATAAGTTTCGATTTTAATTCTGAAATGAGAAGAAAATTACACCTCCTCCACTCCTCCACCCTCACGCAACTCTGACCCTTCAGTAAAAGTAAATTTAACCTAAAGTCTGACCGCGTCAACCNAGATAGATAAATAGATTTATAGACAGATAGACAGCAACTCTGACCCTTCAGTAAAAGTAAATTCAACCTAAAGTCTGACCGCGTCAACCTTGTTGCACCGGCTAGTCCTACTGAGTGTCTGCTTTATGTAACCACACGTCCGGGCGATACAGTACAAAATGGGAGCGGAAAGGTTGACCCGGCTCAGAAATTCAAATGTTCTACCACGGCCCGTTCCCTGAACCCCTCTACTGATTTAAACGATTTTTTAAATCTTTTCTTTCGTCCCCTAAAACCTCTTTTCATATTATTTAACTAAACAAAACTTGATCTTATCACACGAAGAAAGTTTTGTTTCCGATATCCCTTCTCGAAAGAGAAAAGAACATCAAAACATCCAGCTTATTACACTTTAATCATAGTAAGAAGTTAATAATTGTCGCACAAATACTTTATTATTATTGTTACCTTTGATGAGAAGAGTTCCTTGAGTATCTACGCTGATATGTGAGGTTTGAGGCGGAATATCTGCAGCGGCCGATGCGTAGCTTAAGGCGGAGTCAATTCTTGAAACAGTGAGAGGGGCGGAGTCTTTAAACCAGGTTACAGTCGGCTCAGGGGTACCTAATAAAATAATTTTTATTTAGCCTAAGTCTCTAATTTTATAACCCCTATATCTTTGTAAACTTTTGATATTTCTAACTTTGACTTGGCTTGATCTAACCGAATTCATAATTTTAAATGTCAATAGTGTGTGACATCAAGTTGCAAAGATATAAGGATTAGAAACTTTGAGTTTGAGGCAGGTAATGATTCTTTTTTTTTGGGATTATACATACAAGTGTTCAAATATCATGGGAAACAAAAAATTCTTTCTCCAAAAAATCCCCATAAGTACAAAATATTACCGAGAAAACGTCTTATTTTGTTTGCAAAAAATAAAACTAAACAGTATTTTTAGAATAGTATCTACTTAAATGATTA